TAGATCCCAGATCTTTCATTTTCACATCTGCCTTTCATTGTTTATCACAGACTCATCATCTTTCAATGTTTTCCCTCTCTTTTTCCTTTGTACTTGAAGGAGAGTGACCTGATAATCCAATTTCTTGACTTTTGACAATGAGGAAGTTGAATCTCTACATCCCACAGAGTACTGAGATTGAAGAAAACCTTCAGAAACTAGGATCTATAGAACCAAATATATGCCCATATAGACACCATATTTGTGGATTCATGGGGTCATTATGAATCATAAGGAACCTTGATTTCCTGTTTCTTGTCACCCAGGTGGTTCTAGGTCTTTTACCTTCATCCATCCCCCTTGGTATACCATCAGCTGAAACTATTACAGCAGACTCTCCCCAGTTCATTCACTACTTAGTGATAGGGAAAACTTTTATAAATAGCAAACTCCTATAAAGTGTTACAATATAAAATGGCTTCTGCTGTCTCTAACAGCAGTTTGTTTTGTTTTGCTCAAAACTAATAGGCACCAAAGGCACTAACTGCTGAATGAGGCATCGGTCTGACCCTGAGATAACAGGGCACAGCAAGATCTTGAGCTCCCAGAGATACTGAAGCCACCTGATTGTAAAAGTGTCAAGATAAAGAGGACCACTGCTGACATCCCTGACCCTGAACACCTGCTTCCTAAGGACTAGAATAGATAACTAGGCGAATCTTAAAAGGTAAACTCTCCAACTGCGAAGAACTACTTCGTCTGGGTTGAGAAGATTAACTATTTTGTGACCCTGATTTGAACTGTGAGAATGAAATGTAACCACCCAAATGAAGTCAACGCTGTGAAATCCTTTAAAAGGAGGAGCTGTAACTCAGTGTGTGGTTGATCCAGGCACGGCTCATGTGCGATCGACCCTTATCGATGAGTAAATGTGTTGTTTGACTTCCATTCTGCTGCCTCTCTGCGTGTCACCTACTGCTTCCTTCCGTAACATTAGAACCGTCCAGACCAAGGACCATGCCGGTGGAACTCCCAGTTCAGAGGACTGAAGAATGTGACAGTGGTGAAACCGATAGATTTCTGGGTACAATAATCTCTTTAGCTGGGTGTGGTGGTGCGCACCTAAAATCCCAGCACTTGAGGGGCTGAGGCAGGATGACTGCTGTGAGTTCAAACTAGCCTAGGTCTCACTGTGTAATCTAGGCTGCTCTGATGTTCTCTCAGAGATTATGGAATTTTGACTGTGGCAGCAATGGGATAAACTGGTAATGCACTGTACCAGGTACAGCACAACATCAGCTCTCAAGACTTTGGTCAGTGAAGCCTTCTTCTGCACAGATCCCTTGGAAGTGAATCCTCTAGTTCTGGTCAAGTTTTTAGACGAACAAGTATCAGCACACATCTGACTACACCCTTATGAGAGGTCCCAGGCCAGAAACAACCAAAAAGCCAATCTTTAATGACTAGATCACAGATATCGTAACAGACAATAGATGAGGTTCCTGTTGAAATCCATAACTATCTTGGCAGTGGCAGTAAGGGGTGCTTTGTTGTGTAAGAATAGATAACTAATAGAGTTGAACTGTATAATATTAGATCGCCTGGGGTGTGGATGATACTAAATATTATGAGCACAGAGAGTTTTACCAACTCTACTATCCCATCACTAGTCAGTTACATCTTTGAGTACATCCCCCAAAAATCTACTTCTAAATTGCAGGTTTACTTGTAAGAGAACCCAATGGTCAAGAAGAAGCATTTAGTGACTTTTGACTTCAAAACTTGAAACAGGAAGTCAGTTTGAGAACTGGAGTGAGAGTAAAGGTCATGACTGATGGGAAAAATGATTTTTTCTTTTTAAATCAGTCTCTGTTGTTCCACTCTCTCAATACTCTCATGTGCTTTATGTGTCTTTATACAAAACTGGTCCAGATTTAGATGTGTTGACTTACTTGTCAGTGCACTTTTCCTGGTGGGTGGGAGGAGGTGGGAAGGGTTGGGGTAGACTCTCATTTAATATTGTCAAGTGGAAAAGTCAGTCTTAAAAAGCTAACACTAGTGTGACCCTATGCATATGCCATTCTAGAAAGGGCACAACTGGAATCAGTAAAAATATCAGTGTTCCCCAGAGATTAGAGAGGAGAGAAGGACTGGTAAAGCAGTGAAGGGACTCCCAGTGGCAGTAGAAGAGGCAGCGTTTTGTGCACGTTTCCAAGCCCACAGGACACACAACACCAAGAGAGAGCCCTAACGGAAATGCGTGGGGTGATGCCGATGTGTCGGTGGAGGATGGTCAGTCATTTCGGATGTATCACTCTGTTGGGGGTGTGGATACAGCGAGGTGCCGTGAATGCGTGAGCAGAAGAGAGAGGCACATGAGCAACATGCAGGAATCTGCCACCTGTGATGTGAATCCAGAACCTTAAAAAATAAGGTTGGCCCACACAAGTCATCGCAGGGCCCTAGGAGGTTAAGGCAGGAGAATTCCAAATTCTACCCAGCCTGGCAACTTAACAACCTAGTAAGAAATTATTTTAAAATAAAAATAAAGATAGAAAAGGACTGGAGATGTAGCTCAGAGTGAACACCCTGGGTTAACTGCCCAGTATGATAAATACATAAATAAAGTCTATTTTAAACAATAGAAATGTATTTATTTTTCTAGTTCTTTTTTTTTTTTTTTTTGGTACCGGGGATTGAACTCGGGTCTTTATGCTTGCAAGGCAGGGCACCAAACTGCTGAACCAAATCCCTAGCCCGAAATGTATTTATTTTTATTAGACATATCTGAAGTACATAATGACCGCAAAATTAAAAGACATGAAAGGAATATACAAGCCTTATGTTTGCTGTTCCTTGCAGTTCTTTCACCTTTACTCAGAATTTACTCACATTTACATGAAAGGGTGACGAAAGACATGAATTTGTAGCTGGATTAATTAATAACACCCTTTCGGTCTCTCTCTCTTTCTTTTCTTTTCTTCCTCTTTTTTAAAATTTTATTTTATTTTTGTACTAGGGATTGAACCTATGTCCTTAGCACTGGGTCACCATCCCTTTTTTAATTGTTCTATTTTGAGACAATGTCTCTCCACTTTCATTGCTAAGGCTGGGCTTGAACTTGCAATTCTCCTGCCTTTGGCTCCCAGAGAACTGGGGTTACACACCCCGAATCCACACAATTTTGTTAGCGAAGAGAGGGGGTGAACATTGTGTAGGTAAGGACAGTCTCTACTGTAGATCAACTTTTGGAATTCAATATCCCTTCAAACTCTTCTTCTCAAAAAGAAGTAATCTTATTCTTCCCAAGGGGGATAACCCCAAAGATTTGGAAGTTAAAGGCTTAATCAGGTCTGTGTGTGTGATGAGTCTCCCATAATTTAGAATTCTCAAGTGCCAAAGACAACCAGTGTACAATGGGACCATGAGTGTCAGGTAACCACAAAGGAAACGCCCAATGAAAAGAAGAAAATGGGGGTATGTAGGAGGTGCTACTGTATTTCAATTAATCAAGGCCAGGAGGGAAAATCCAGGAGCCCTGAAGGAAAATGTTCAACCTCTAGAAAGGAAAACCTGTGCTTCCACATTGGAGAATTAACAATTAGCTTCCTCTCCTGGGGCAGGAACTGATTAATCCTCATTTTCCGTGGCCACATCTTAGTTGGACATTAAGAGTATACATTTCCTGAAAACTTGAAAGCACATATAGATAGGAATGCCGATGAAATGGGTAAACCACTCTGCCTTGGAGATGCAAAGAACCTCAGGGGTGACTTGACGAGAAGTAAAGCAGGGGTGTGAGGAGGGGATCCTGAAGACAGGGCTGCCTGTCATTCATTTAGGTTTCTTGTCTTGTCATTGGAAAAGTGTGTTTAACAATGAAAGTCCATTTGTGAGCAGTTAGTAGAAAACAAGGAAACAGGCAGAATAATGTTATGGGCGGGTTCATCTATAAACAAATCCCCCAGATAACAATTAACCAGAGTCCTTTACTTGAAGCAGAAATGTTTAAGAATGAATAAGACACATGGATATATTTATAACCTATGAACTTGGCCTCCTTCATATCTTAAGGTTGGAGTTCATTTTAAATAAAGATTCTCACTCAGCACCTAAGTGATAAAATTGCCTATTAATTTATTAGTATTTATTGATTCAGTTAATTCAGAAGAAATTCTGTTATCCATTAATTCAGTGAACACAACAGTCACTTTTTTACACATGAGGAAGATGAGGATCCATTAGTGATAACACATTAAAATCTCTGCTTTCAGAAAGTGTACATTATTATTTCAAAGAAACCTTATCAAGCTACATACATAATTATGTTTTTTATGTCAGTACATTTGACAGTGTGGATGAAATGAAAAAAACCTCCTTACATATTACAGTTTTCCAAAGCTGAAAGAGGAAAAGATAAATGAATAAGACAGTAATTATTAATGAAATTAAACTTCTTATTAAAAGTCTTCCGAATGAAAATACTAGACCCTGTGGGCTTTAGTAGTGAAAGTGTAAACAATGAAGAAAGATACAACAGCAGAGACTAGATTCAGAGAGTTTCCAGTGCCTTTTAGGAGACCAGTGCAAGTTTGATGCAAAATAAGGACATTAGAGGAAATTACAGTAGCAGTCATCTTTATGTAAATGCTGATACTCTCAGCAAATTGAGGGTGATAGATTACAAACTTATGAAATACACCATGAAAAATTACACCAGAAGGATTAAGTGTGCTTTAGTTTAGGAATGGAGTAGTTTAAAATTCAAAAAGTAATGAATATAATTCATGATCACATAAGTAAAATGATAAAATGACAGTTGTTTCAAAATATGTAGAAAGTACATTTAATAAAATCCAATAGCCATTCATAATTTTTTAAAAAGAGGAAAATTTTTAGTAAACTGGGGAATACCAAAGTATGGTTGTAATCCCTGATACTTTGGAGGCTGAGGCATGAGGATTGCAAGTTCAAGGCCAGCCCAGGTGACTAAATCAGACTCTGTATCTAAATAAAATAAAAAGGCTTTGGAGCCTCAGCTCAGTGCTTCCTGAGTTCAATCTCCGGTGGCCCCTTTACCAAAGTACAAAAACTTCATAGCAAGCATTTTACCTAATGGTGAAATTAAGTTTTAATTTGCACGATCTTCTCTAAGTCCCAGGAGTCCACAGCATTCATTTTTCTGCTGTATTCTTGCTCCACATCCACATAGGTCAGGATACACTCTTGGGTCAAAACAACACAAAAAACACCGACAGAGCCCACTATCTTATTTCTTTCCCTCCAAATCAGGGGATGTAGAAGTAATTTTCCACATCAAATATTCTAGGGCATAGATCAAGGTGAAATAAAGCTGGAGGTGGGATCGGGGTAGGTAGAATAAGGCACAAATCTGAGCTCCTCCTCACATTGCTGTTAACTCCACCTCTGCAGCAGGTGCCCCAGAACTGATGGCTGTGTCAATGGTCTGGACCACGTCCTCACTCAGGGCCTTCTCCAGTCTGATGGGTAAGGAGTGGATCAGTTTCTCTCGGAAGTCGTGACCCACAAAGACGTAGAGTATTGGGTTGAGGCAGCTGTTGAAGCAGGCCAGGGACATTGCTTGAGGGATCAGTATCAGGAGTACATTGAGCTCATCTTCATACGTTTCAATCTCTTTGGCCCAGACTGAGACTAGAAGCATAATCAGTTGAAAGGGGAACCAACAAATGAAAAAGGAAGCCACAACAGCAGTGAGGACCCAAAAGGGACGGCTGGTCTTCATCATGCCCATTCTACAAATCTTGGCAGTGATGAGCCCATAGCACATGAAGATGATGGACATGGGCATAAAGAAGCCAATAAGGAACCGGACAATCCCAAGAGGTGGTAATATTGCAAATAGTACCTTCTCCTGCTCTTCCTCTGTGGATCCCAAAGATTCAAAGGAGACAAAACAGTATACATTCCTTTGTTCATCATTTACTGTATTTGAGAAGATGAAAGCTGGCAAAGCAAACACTCCAGCAAGAATCCAGGGTCCGACGATGACCTTCTTGGCCAGGCTCACGGTGCGGCGGTTCTGGGCCCACACTGGATGCAGGACACAAATACAGCGGTCCAGAGCGATGAGAGCGATCAGGAAGACACTGCCGAACAGGTTTAGGTCCACAACTATGTTAATCGACTTGCAGAGGAACCAGCCAAAAGGCCATTTTCCTCTCCTGGCCATGGAGACAATGAGGAAAGGGAGGGTGGTGGTGAAGGAGAAGTCGGCTATTGCCAAGTTCAGGTAACAGATGGAGGTGACTGTGCATGCCATCCGGAACCCAGCCACCCAGATCACCAGCCCATTGCCCAGCACACCCAGGACACAGGTGACCGAGAGTAGCACCATTGGGAATATCCACAGAACACGGTAGCCAACAGACTCATGGAGTGTCCTTTCAGATTCATACGGAAGAAGTGAGATGTTGCCTTCCATGCTGCCCACACCTGAAACATTTCAACAAAGGCCATTTCTCAGATGTGGATTTGTCTAACAGCCTCCATATTCAGACCCAATGTCACCTGCCCCTGTAGCTCCCACTCCACCAAGGGAATCCATTTTACCAATCCTAGTGCCCAGTAATACCATAAAATTGGATGTCTCTTGGAAGTTCTTATGGGAAAGGAAAGTTCCCCCATCTTCTCACAATTATAAGTATACGTTTGTCTCTGATTTAAGAGGACAACCACAACTTCTCCACCAACAGGAATGTCAACCTGAGGATGTACAGGTAACAGAACATGCAGGTCCTGCAGCTTCACATACTGAGGACAACACTGGAGTCAACCATCACATTCACTGCGGTTCTACTCCCGAATCGATGTGTAAGGGGCAGCAAGTCTGTGCTCTACTTCTGCTGCAAGTTCATGTCATCTCATGGATCTTGTCCCTGTCCCAGTGTGGGAGTCTTGGAACTATTGTCTGCTTAGTTTTGTATTTAATTTAAGGGTTTGTCTAGAGTTTGTACTTGAAGAGAGTGTAGCACATTCATGGTACCATGTGGCAATATGTTACAACGTCTGGATTCTATGCAAAAAGAAGTCAGTAAAGAAGACCCCCATCTCTACTTTTAACCCAGTGAATTTCTTCATCCCTGCTTTATATCCACTCTGAAAAGCCAAGGATTTGTCCAATTTGAGTGTTCTGTGTGATAAAGAGTATGACCGTGGCAAATTTTCTTAATATTTGTGGGGTTCTTATTAGAGACTATGTTTTGTGTTGATTACTGTACTCGGGGTCTGGTTTGGTCTACATAATTGCTCTGAAATTGTTTGGTTTTTCTTGTTTTATAGGAATAAATTGATTTTCAAAACATTTATGAAGCCTGCTGTAGGTAATTTAAGCAGTAAATGGTATAAGAAGGATTTAGGTCCAGCTTGGTCTGCAAATGGCAGTTACTGAAGAGTTCTTCACATTTAATATCTGTTATAATATTCTGTCATCTCTGTTTTATCAGCACAAAAACTATAACCCAGGGATTCTACCAAACTTTTCAACAGCACAACCAGCCAGTCAATGGAGGCAGCAAGATTTGAAAAGCAGGTTTAACTCATTCCAGAGCCCTTGCTCTTCAGCACTGCCCTTGAAAGGCATTCCTCAGAATTGCCTCCGTATGCTTGTCCCAAATTATGATGCTCATCCTCTTTTGTTTCCCTTCTTACTTCCCCCATTTCTTATCTTTCCCTTTCTCAACCGTGGCACTCTTGACATTGGAGCCCGGGTACTTTGTTGGTTGGGGATGCCCTTTGCATTTTAGAATGTGTAGGGTCATCTCTGGCCTCTCCACTCATGGCATTATCAACTTCCCTCCAATAATGACAAAGCGTCCTTGGGGAGGCAAAATCACGCCCAGTTCCAAGTCACCATTTTTCTGTAAAGAACCCTAGGTTCTAGTTAAGTAAATCTGTATTTGAATTCTACGTCAGACACCTCCCCATTGGGAGTTCTTGAACTAAATCAACTCTGAGCCTCAGTTTCCTCCTCTGCAGGATGAATCTAATTTTGGGGTGGAAACAGACTTCCGGGTGATCATTAAACATGAACAGATATGGGAATCTTGGCTAGACCCTGTGCGTAACAAATGGGAACTCCTCCTCAGCAAGATCTGTGCTGTGTCTTGGACTCATCTGTGGGCTGTGCATTGTGGAAGTTTAAGGTCAAACAAGAACAATGCTCCCAACAGTAATTGCTGTTCTTTCCAAACATTGTCCACACCCAAACAGCTACCTCCACCCTTCAGAGTTCTCAGTGGCTCTTGAAGATTGCACGTGTTCATTTACATAAGGCATTGATACACTCAAGAGGTTAGAACTATTGAACAACATTAGTTATACTCATAAAACTATTGTAAAAGTGAAGAGGTTAAGGCTTAGCCTGGTTACGTTAGTTGTTTAATACTACCAGTTAGAAAATAGCACAGCCAGAGTTTGATCTCGGCTTGACTGATTTCCTCCAGAATTATGCTCTTAATCTTCTCCCACCCTGTGTTTCCTCAACAAATCCAGGTTTTCTGTTCCTGTCCTAAAATATCAGATAAGGCACTTGGAAGATGATACATTCAAAAATCTCATAAGATTTCAGTGTAGCAAGGAAGGGCAGGGACAGATGGGGCTACCAACAAGACAAAGTTGCAAAATTATGGGTGCACCCTGGTTGTGAGGTGGGGGAGAGAGCTGTGAGCCTTGGAGCTTTCTGACTGACCTCGATGGCCCGTGTGTGGTAAGACCTACTACAGGCCAACATCTGATTACAGCAAACCACTTTGGGGCTGACAGCTCCATCATACAACACAAAGTGAAACCACAGCTCAGAGAGAGGAAGTGACTGCCACATGCCTCGACTATCAGTGTGCAATTACATTTTATAACCGTGTATTTTAAATGGGAACCCGGCGCTTCCTTGTGATTCACTCTACTTTTAGCATATTCTCTCACCCTCATCTTTAAAGTTCATTTCAGAATTCTTTTCCATCCCCAATACCGACCTCCCACATTTGTTTTGGATCCCTCCTCTTACCTTCCCCAAAATGTGCCTCCTGCATTTTTTCATCTATATTCTGAAAAAAAAAAAACTTCTAGGATTCCATTTCTACTATTTTATGCACACTGTGACATACACATTATTATACTCCTCCCTGTAGAAGACATGATCCTTAGTCTGTGGTCCTCTCCAACTCCAGTCCCATTTCCCTCTCAAGATTTCTTTCCGTGAAAAGCACCCACAGTCAGACACCAGAAGGGGCTACCCTAACTCCCCGTCTATTTCTTCTCCTTGCATTTTCTCCAAACTCATTGCCTGTGAGTCCTTTGCACATCACCAGATGTGGGCTACTGGAAGAGCATGAATTCTATCACCAAAGCCAGTGGTCTCATCTTTATTCTTATCCCAATTCTCAGTGACAGAGGGTCCATCAGAGGTCTCCCTTCCTCAGATATAATTGTCTTTGCTTTGAGAATATAACATACACACAAAATACATTCTTCGTTCTTTAATTGACTGGTCTTGCTCTTTTGGGTCCAATTTACAAGCTTTTTATTCTATGAATTTCATTCCAAATTTGGGTTTGTGCCTTGCCATCCACCCCCATCCTCTATCCGTGACCATTCTATAAGAGATACCATCCAGTCTTGTGGCTTACATATCATGCTGACAACTTGTAATCCAAGCCATCATCTGTAGCATTGTCCCAGAGCTCTGGCCTGATAGAGTCGACTGAGTTCCTGTCATTTCCACATGAGAGGCCCCAACAAAATTCCAAACTAACACTGCCTAAACGAGACTCTTAAATGTCCACTCTCCAAATACTCTGCTCTGAGTTCACATATTGAGTTGAGGAAGCACCAAATGTAGAATATATCTTTGATTGTTTTTTCTTTGCCCTGCAGTCCAATTCTAGCCCTTTTAATATTGAATATACTGAATCTTCTCTACCCTACCTGCCTTGTCTGTAGCCCTTCGTTTTTTCACCAACCTCACAGATAAGTTGATTAAACCTACTGCCTCCTCCCCTAAAATCCATTCTCATGGAAGAAATCAAAACATCTCTTTAAAAGACAATAAAAATCATGACACTAAAGGAGGCATTTTGGCAAACCTCTGTAATCACAACTATGCAGCAGGCTGAGGCACCGACAGTGGCAAGTTCGAGCCCATCTAGGCAACGTGGTGAGACTTTGTCTCAAAAGAAAATATGTAAACCAAAGCATGGTGGCACAGCTCAGGCAGAGTGCCTCTGTGTTAGGTTCTCCATGCCACGCAAAAATAAATAATCATGAAGATGATGACATTGCTCGGCTCGGTGCCGTCGGTTGCCTCTCTCCTACATCAGTCGGCCCGTGTGTGCGTCTCCCCTGTCTGCGCTCACGTCTCGCCTCTCCACTAGGATCTCTGTCGCTCACCCAGTTCACACTGAGCTCCGTCACCTCCTTGTCCATGCATTGCACTGCTGGCTCAGGGATGCTGCGCTGTCTGTTCCCTTCTGCTCACAGTGGTCTTCTCGTGGACTTCCTTTACCTGGCTCTTCCCGAATATTCATTCCTCAGCCTAAATATTACGTCCTGCAAGGTCCAGTTTGACCCATGATGTAAAGCTGCTTCCTCAGACCCAGCTACTCTCCCTGGGTAGTTTTTTGTTCATATGTTGATTGATTTATTTTTCAACTCGAATGCGCTCAGCGCTAGTGTGTAAACTCTAGAAGACGACCACGTTTGTTCGATTCTTTGTCTCTAGAGTTTCACTGTCCAATAGAAATGCAGTGTCAGCCCCAAGTGGGAGTCACGCATATGATTTTCAGTTTTCTGGTGGCCATGTTAAAAGTTTTAAAATTCTAGAAAAAATAAATTTTAGCAATACGGTTAATTAACCCAACCTATCCACAGGCATAGCATTAGAATATGTTATCCAAATAAACTTTTAGGCTGAGGTGATTACACAAATGTGTAATAACATCTACTCAGGAACCTGTGGCAGGAAGATGATGAGTTCAAGGCCACCCTGACAACTTAGAAAGACCCAGACTCACTGACAATAAATACAAATGAAAAAATTGCTAATGAGATCATTTATACTCTTTTTGAATGTATCAAACACCTTGTGCATTCTGAACATTTGAAGTTGAGAGCTCAGTAGCTGTCCTCATCAGGTGGATACTGGACAGCTCCTCTTGAGAGGTAGGAAGTGCCTGTCATCCATAGCTATTCAAACAATAACTTCTAAACTGCCACTTACAACTTACCCCCAAGTGAGATTCTTGCTTGCGGCAGGCTCGTGGCGTCCTGTGAAGTAAAACAAGTTCTCAGCCTTCAGAAGAGATTTTATTGAGGGTCAGAAGGAGGGACAGAGAAACCAGAACCAGCCATGTGACAGAAACTGGCGGCTCCTCCTGATTTCCGGTAGATATTGCAAACAAGCTGTAGACTCTGAGAAACGTCTCAGACATTCTGAGGGAGGCAGAGGGCCAGTATTGTGAATGTCAGGGTTCAGGAACTGGGAGACAGGTTCTTTCTTCTTCAGAGAGTCAAGAACATGGAAGAAACTATTACTGAGACAAGAAGAATTACAAGCAGACAGTAAAAGAGAGGATGGTTAAGCAAAGAATACCTTCTCTGCTTAAAACTTTTCCATGGATGGTGTGGCATTTTTTGACACCAAGCAATTCTCCAATTCTCCAAGAATGCTAGCTGTGAGTCTTACACCTCCATCAAGGTGCAAGGTGAGAGGGTTCAGACTATTCCTCTCAGTGAGAGAAATGACAGAATTTTGTTGGTATCCTCTTCCAAGACCTGCATCAAATAGATCTGGTTAGATCTGGGGAGTCATCCCTGAAATGGGAGGAGAGTAGATCAGTTTGGCTTGGCTGTTATGACCCAGCACCACAGAGGAGGGGATTAAATAATAGAAACTGATTTTCTCACGGTTCTAGAGGGTGGGAAGCTGAGGTCAGCGGTGAGTCTTTCTCCTTGGCTTGCCGTGGCTCTCGCCTCCCCGTTTCCCTCATGGTCCTTGCTCTGTGTGGGTCTGCATTGTAACCTCATCTTCTGTTAAGGACACCAGTCAAACTGGACTAGGGTCCACCAGAATGGCATCACTTCAACTAAGTTTCCTCTTTAAAGGTCTCTACCTCTGGGTGTCACATTCTAAGGCTTTGGGCATTGGCTGGGCACGGTTTATGCCCTAATATGGAATGATAAAGAGTGAGGAGATGGGCATTATTACTCCCAGTTCAAAGGCAGAGTGACTGACACTTGGCGATTAGAATCAGGGATCCAGTGCAGCCCTTTTTCTGTTTTGGTTTGGCTTGTATGAAAGAGCAAAGAATGGCTTTACATTTTTTACTGGCTCAAGAAAACCAAGAGAATATTTTGTGACACACGAAGGTGATAAGAACTCCAGCAGCCATGTCCTCGGGTAAAACTGTTTGCACAGACACACGGACTCTGGGCAAAGAATGTACAGTGCGATCCACGCTGCAGAGCGGAGCCGGGGAGCTCCCGGCAGAGCCGGTGCCGCCGAGGAAGAGATGTTCACTCTCCAGCCCTTTCCGGAAACTGCTGACCCTGGTTCCATGCTGTGTCCATTTGGGTAACTGGTGACCAGCAGACCTGGATTCCGGCCCAGCCTTCACCATCACAAACACCGTCTGGAGGCTTTGCAGGTCCGGAGGCCGCTCCAGACAGTCCAGCTGTTAGGAATTCCTCCCACCCTGCCCAGTCCTGATGTCACTTCCCTCGGCCTCTGCCTGCTCAGGCAGTGAGGTCCTGTGAAAGTGGGAGTCCGCCCTGAGACTTTGCTTCTTTCCTTCACCTCAGCTGCTTTGCCCTGCACAACCTTGCTGGGTGTGTCTTTGTGGACTAGCTTGTTAATCGTGGGCCCTTTGGGACCGTGAACTCGCACGTGCTTTAGTAAAGGCAGTTTACGGGGAACAGAAAGGGGGATCTCGTGGTCCCAGCTGCAAGAAGGACAGCTCAGCTTCAGACCACTTCAAACTGTCCTCAGCCCCACTCCCTCTGGAGTTCCTCGTGTCCTACATCCTCTTGGCATCCGGACCATCTCTTCCACTGTGCCTTTCTCTCTTCTCTTCGGATCTTCCACAGACTTGACCGTCCCATGACTCTCGGCCACATTTACTCTCGTTACCTATCCACCCTTGGGAACCCACTAAAGTACATGCATTGTGTATGACTACCAAGACATTTTTATAACATACTATTCTGGACAGACCCCATTTCTGATTAAAAATCCCTAGTGATTCCTCCTCCTGTGTCTCCTCCTCATGGCTTGGAACGCTGTAGTGTGAAGTCAGGAGCTATTACAGTGATGAGGCATGGATGAGAGAGAAATTCACTACGTTGGTGTTGAAGAAATGGTAAGATTTCATAAGTATGGGTCTTTATTATTCAAACTTAACCTAGCGCCATCCACCTTCAGAATTCTAATAAATTCAGGCATAAGTGCTCTCTTGGGTTCCAGCCATTCTTAAATGCAGTTGTCTGCTAACTATGGTAAAAAACAAAACAAACACCCAAACAGGAATTGGAAATCATGCTTTTAAGATGACTGTTTTCACCTCCATCTCTGAATGTGTCTTCTCATATTTTTTCCACAGTACTCTGGAACCTTAGCTGACTCTTAAACTTTCCTAAAGACTAAAACTTTGCTGGGCTCGAATCCTACAAATGAGTGTGCACGGGAGTGGGGATTGTGGGATTCATCTTCGCCATGGTGGCTAAGTAAAGAATGGTTGGTTCCGTCCAGGTGTCTAAACTTCATTTCTCAGCCCCCACGCCCCGTTCCTTCATTCTCTTTCACTGCTTCCCACTGATCCTTCTCACCCTGAATATGTCCCTTCTCTGTATCTTAATTACTTGGAGGAGAGGCACCAGGATACTCAGTTCCTTGATCCCTTGATGATGAGAGAGTTGACCTTTCATGTCCTGCAGCGGATTAACAGTGAGAAAAACATGCAGCTTCTGGTTTCCAAAAGTACCCAGGCCCCTCCCACGTGGCTTTAACACAGATGTCATATTGGCATATTCTCGTAGTCATCTGAGTCACGGGGAGCCTTGGTTTCCTGTTTTTCGTTACCTAGTTGGTTCCAGTTCCTGTTCCCTTGCCCCGTCCCGTTGGTGTATCATCAGCCGAGAGTATTAGAGCAGAGTCACTCAGAGCAGGAAATGGGGGGTGGGAACTGTCCAGGGTAAGGACCACAGGTGGTGGAATGCCCAGATGAGTGACACATGCCTGGGGCTGTGGAGCTTCACAAGGGGTGCACTCGGTGGATTTGTGGGCGCAACAGACCCTGACAAGTGAGTTGTAGAGAAATGAAGAGGAAGAAGTGAATACAGAAAAGTGAATACCATTTCTTCACTCATACCACCTTTGTGCTGTGAAGGACAGCCAAGGAACTGGACACTGAAGAGTAATACGAAATTGGAGAGTAATAATTTTCAAGACTAAGAGGCTCTAGAGTAGGAATCGGCACTGGAAAAATTATTCGATGAGAGTACTCAGTAAATACTTTACAATAACAACTGTTAACGTCAGTGGACCTAACTCCTTGTCAAAAGACACAGGCTAGTAGATTGGGCAGAAAAATGCAACCATGTATTGTCTACAGGAGACACGCTTTATTCAAAAGGAAGCTTGTAGGCTAATGGTGAAAGGATATGAAACAATATTCCATCCAACCAGAGACTCGAAGCAAGCATGGGCAGCTGTCTTATTTTCAGACAGCAGATTTCAAGGTGGTCAAAAGGGACAAAGATGACCAGTACATTCTGGTTAAGGGAACAATTCAATAAGAAGAGATAATTATAAATAGCTAATGCTCCAAATGTTGGCACAACAAACTTCATAGAAGAAAAATTACTGGACATAGAAGACAACAGTACAGTCATAGCAGAGAACTTCGACACCCCACTCTCACAATTAGACAGGTCACACAAAAAAATGAACAGAGAAATATGTGAAATTACAGCACTGAACAAATGGACCTAACAGATAGATATCGAGTGTTTCATCCAAAAACAGAATACATATTCTTCTCAGCAGCACTTGGAACTTTTCCTGAAATTCATCATATCTTAGGCCATAAAGCATGTCTGAATAAATACAAAAGAATTTAAATAATAGCCCACATATTATCAGAGTATAGTGAAATAAAGCTAGAAATCAAAAGCAAAAGAAACCACAGAAATTACACAAACACATAGGCATTAAACAATACACTACTGGGTAACCAATCCAGGGGATAATCAAAGGCAGAATCGGGGAACAAATAAAAAAATTCCTAAATCAAATGACAGTGGGAGCACAATAAGCCAAAACCAGTGGCAATAATGAGAGCAGTTCTAAGAGGGAAGTTTATAGCTTTGACTGCATGCATTCAAAGGGCAGAGCAATCACAAATTAATGACTTGACGATGCATCTCGAGGATTTAGAAAAGCAAGAGCAGCCCAAATCTGAAATTAATAGAAGGAAAGAAATTATGAAGTTCAGAGTGAAAAATAATGAAGGTGAGACTAAGACAAAACAATACAAAGGATCAGTGAATCAGTGTTCTTTGAACACCTATCCAAGGCTGACACAAGGTTGATACCTTTAGCCAAACATAACAAAAAAAAGAAGAAGAAAATTCATATCAATGCAAGTAGGATTGAAAAAGGCAGTATTACAATCAACACTTCCGAAATCCAGAGAATTTTAAGGAATCACTTTGAAAATGTATATTCTAATAGATTGGAAAACCTAGAGAAGAGCATAAATTCTGAGACACACATGCTCTAACGAAATTGAACCAAGAAAATACAAAAATTCTGAATAGATTAAGAACAACCAATAAAATAGAGGCAGTGATAAAAACTCCACCAACAAGGAGAAGCCCAGGACCTGATGAATATACCACAGAATTGTACCAGTACTTCAGAAAAGACGTAACACCAATACTCCTCAGACTCTTCAATAAAACTTAAAGGGAACAAATCCTGCCAGACTCATTCCTGGAAGCTAAAATCACCCTGAGACCAAAACTAGACAAAGACTTTACTAAAAAAAAAAAAAAAAAAAAAAAAATGTATAAAAAAAAAAAAAAAAAAATGTATAAAAAAAAAAAAAAAAAAATGTATAAAAAAAAAAAAAAAAAAATGTATAAAAAAAAAAAAAAAAAAATGTATAAAAAAAAAAAAAAAAAAACTACAGTCCAATCTCTTTTTTTAAAATTTAATTTATTGGTACATTCTAGGTAGACAGTACAGTTATATTCATTACTGGGATCTTGTAACTTTCAGTCCAATCTCCTTAATGCACATAGATGTAAAAATACTCAACAATATACAAAATGAAACATATCGTTAGAAAGCGCATACATGATAAGCAAGCTTTGTTCATTCCAGGGTTGCAAGGAGAGTTCAACATATGTAAAGCAAAAAGTGTAACATCATATAAACAGAAGCAAGAAAAAAATCACACAATCATCTCAACAGACATAAAAAAAAATCATTCATGATAAAAACCTTGACAAAAATAGGTATAGAAAGACTTTATCTCAATCAGATAAAAGTCACTTAAAACAAACCCATTGCTGACGCAATACTAAATAATGAAAAACTGAGTGCTCTTCCCCTAAAATCAGTGACAAATATGTGTTCACCACTCCTGTTTCATATATTCCCTGAAAATATAGCCAGAATACTCAGGTAAAGAACCTTGGATGCCAAAAGCCAAGGAAATACAGAATGTGCAGTAGAAAACAGTAGTTATAATCACTGGCTATGACTGCATGGCCATGAAACAAAAATTGTACTTGTCATGAGTCTTTCCTACTTTGTTATTATACGTGTAAACATATACACATATCTTAAGCAGGTATCTGCTTTCTTTCCTTGGAAAATAATGTCGGCTGACTTACTATTGGCTCTTAAGTATTATTAAATTTACATTATACTGTTTAAATTGTGGAGTGTTCGGAGCAGAGTAAGCAAAACCCAAAGAAAAACTTTGCCTTCTGTTCTGGGGACAGAGTTACCACATTTCTGTTTGTGCCTATGATAGTCCTGTCATGCTAGGCATAATTATGAACTTTCTACCTATTTGGAAATTAATTCATTTAAGAGATGTATTTGGATGTCCAGTTGACAAGGGGTGGATTGTAATTCTTAATTGTAATGTTTCTATTTCGCTTGCATAAGAACCATCTGGCAGATTAGTGAATTCTTGGTGTGTGTGTGTGTGTGTGTGTGTGTGTGTGTGCGCGTACAGGACCAACATGTGGACCAGCAAACTGAGGGAAGACTCACCTCAAATAGGAAGGGTGTCAAACAGTAGGCTTACAGCTTGGACAGAATGAAAGCGCAAAGAAGAAAGAAGTGTTTTGATTTTTTCAGAGAAGCTCTGGTTTTCCCGTTGTCTTTGAATGTTGTTCTCCAGTTCCTTGACCCTTCCTTCCCACACAAGACTGACACCACTGACTACAAGGAGCTTCCAGGTCTCTGACCTGATTGCTAACAGATCCTCTAGGTCTTGAGGGTGTAGGTGACCATTTGGGATTCTTTTGTTTTTGATTGGCAAAGAGCTACTAGGACTGTTCCCTTCCAATCCTATAAGCCTGCCTAACAAATCCCTTGTATTATCATGCATATATTTGATATTGAATCTGTTCCTCTAGAGAACCCAGCTAATACAACTAGTGCCTGTGTGGGTTTGAACCTTCTTCTCAGTACCAATATCTGTCTTAGTCATTTTCTTGTCACAGGGACAAAGTAACTGTCACCCAAAACTTAAGGAGAGATTTATTTGGGATCCCATTCCACTCCATGGTCAGCCAAGTCCATAACAAAAAAGGCATGGTGGAAAGGTCTAGGGAATAGAAATCTGCTCACATCATAGAGACCAGGATGCAGAGAAGGGAAAGATTTGGTAGGGAGATATAACCTTCCACGTCACGAGCCCAGTGACCTGCCTCTTCTGCCAAGACCCACCTTCCAACATCACAGTCACTGAACTCACTGGTGGACCTAATCTACCAATGAGAGCCGCACCTCCATAATCAGAACTCCTGCAAAAGCCTCCCTGCTGGGCATACGAGAGGTTTGGGGGACATTCCAGTTTCAAGCCACAAAACAGGGCTCCAATTTATATTTCTCCTACCTCAGCATCCCAGCGTGCTGTGATTACAAAACGCTCAGTAGGTCCATGGTTCATTTACATAGATTTTCTTTCATCTAGAAGCAATGATAAACTTTATGGCAGGAGAAGATACAGGAGAGAGCTGCAGACCCTCTGGTCTCTGGAATGTACGTTCAGGGTTAAGAAAGCAAAATTCTTTGTTCACTTAAATTTCCTCCCCCCGTGGGGAAGCTCACAGGAAAATAGTCTAGTCCTAGTGTTGTCTCCTATGATGTTTGAGAGCCGAGAAGACTTCTCCTCCCTTGCCTTGTGTTTGAGTAGCCACAAGATGGAGCTCTATTTCCAGTGAGTTAGTTTTAATTGATTGGCACTTGAGAAAAACAGAATGAGTCCAGGGTGATCATGCCTGGACTGTTTACTGCTGCTGACTTTGACCCCTCGGGTCCCTTGCTAGATCCAAACTTAGGGAATTTCAGCACCTTTATAAATGGAGAAGCCTAGTCCAACTAGCCAAAACTCAGAGGGTATACAGCTTTCTTGGTATAAAGGAAAAGGGACTTGAGTGTGGTTTGCCTGTTCTTTTAACTTTTAAAAAGCAAAATATGAGACACCTACGTAAATGTAAATGAATAAAATATAAAAGTGAAGATTAATACATTTTATAGGAGAAATGTTTCCTAAATGAAGCGAAAATCACCACTAGCATTCGGGAACCACTGGCCACAACATACTTTATAACACATGTCAAACTTGTTCCCTCCTCCTCCTTACAGTAATCACTACCTTCACTCTTATGGTAATTAATGTATGCCTTTCCCTTATGGTTTTGCTACCTACTTACATATCCGTGAATGAAAAGTTTAATTGCAAATATTTGAAATTTTATATATGTGCAGAACCATTCTATTTAAACTTTGGTCTTCTGTCTTCTCAACTCAGTACCTAGTGTTCACATATATAGGTGTAATTCTTTAAATATTTATTGATGAACAGTGATTGGCTGTAGGAATATAATACCCTATGACTGGTGAATTTTTGGATAGTTGAAACTTTGAGTTTACTATGAACAATGTGTGATGAATATTTCTGAGCATTGAACTTGATCATTCAATTTACCAAACAAAATCTGAGAGACTTCACATGCTCATGATTTTATTTATTTTTTTTTAATTTTTTTTTTTTTTTTTGGTACTGGGGATTGAACTCGGGTCCTTGTGCTTACAAGGCAGGCCACTGAACCATTGAGCTAAATCTCCAGTCCCTATCATGATTTTAAATAAAGCATACCAAGTTCTGTATATGACTGTGCTTTTCATACCAATACATTCCACATTTTCATAAAGTGATTAAACTTCATACTAATTACAATTTACCAAAACTGACAGGGAAAAAAACCAGAAAAGTAGCTATTAAGGACATTGAGCCTAATATTAAAAGCCTTCTCAGGAAAAAACTGGGAATCTGTGGTGAATTTTTCTAAACATTTAAGGAAGGGTTTAGAATAAAAGTTGTCAAATATTTTTAGGAGAATACTATAAATTTGATGTAAAATAAAGAAATTAAGGAAATTAAAACAACTCATTTGTACATTAACATAATCCCAGTCATTCTAAGATAACTGAGTGACACCATTTATTTTTCCAGTCCTACCCCGCCAGCACTTGGCTCTGTGTGAGGCTAACAAACAGAAGAAGAAATTACACCAGTAGCACCTTGTTTTCTATTTCTTTCCTACACATGAGAGGACAAGATATTTTTCCCAAGCAAACACTCAAGGCCGGGTCTCACGGGGAGAGAAAGCCGGAGGTGAGATAAGCACAGGATAGGTATGAACTTGAGATCCACTTCTCATTGTTTGTAACTCGAGCTCTGCGTTCGGGGCAGCAGAATTGGTCACTGTGTCACTGGTCGGGGCCGAGTCCTCAGTCAGGGCCCTCTCCAGACTGGCGGGCAGAGAGCGGATCAGTCTCTCTCGGAAGTCCTGCCCATGAACACGTAGAGCTTCGGGTTGAGACAGCTGTTGAAGAAGGCCAGGGACTTTGCCGGGTTGAGCAGGACGGCAAAGATTCTGTTACCCTTTAAAAGTACCTCTTTGAGCCACACTGTTCTTAGAAGGGCAACCAGTTGGAAGGGGAACCAACAGATGAAGAAGGAAGCCACAACGGCCGTGAGCCCCCGAAAGGGACGGCTGGAATTCATCATGCCTTTCCTGCGAATCTTGGCAGCGATGAGCCCATAGCAGATGGCGACCGTGGACATGGGCGTGCTGAAGCCGATAATGAACCGGACGATCCCTCTGGCTGTCAACGTGGCGAGGGCCACCTCCAGCCTCTTTTCAACAGTGTCTCCCCAGGATGCGAAAGAGAAGGTACAGTATATGTTCCCATTTGCGTCACTTGCTGTTGACAAGAAAATGAAAACGGCAAGGTAAGGACTAGTGCAAGGATCCAGGGTCCGACGATGACCTTCTTGGCCAGGCTCACGGTGCGGTGGTTCTGGGCCCACACTGGATGCAGGACACAAATACAGCGGTCCAGAGCGATGAGAGCAATCAGGAAGACGCTGCCGAACAGGTTTAGGTCCAAAACTATGTGAATCAGCTTGCAGAGGAACCAGCCACAAGGCCATTTTCCTCCCCTGGCCATGGAGACAATGAGGAAAGGGAGGGTGGCGGTGAAGGAGAAGTCGGCTATTGCCAAGTTCAGGTAACAGATGGAGGTGACTGTGCGTGCCATCCGGAACCCAGCCACCCAGATCACCAGCCCATTGCCCAGCACACCCAGGACACAGGTGACCGAGAGTACCACCAATGGGAGAATCCGCAGAGCCGTGTAGCCAGCTGATGCGTAAGGCATCTCTTCAGATCCATTGAGAGGGATGGAGAAGTTGGCGGCCATCCTGCTCACACCTGAAACGTTTCAGCAGAGATCATTTGTCAGGTGTGGCGTTGTGTGAGAGCATCCCCGTTCAGACCCTGTATCACCTCCTGCTGTAGCTCCTGCTTCCAGCAGGGGGCCCGCTGTCTCAAATCTGGTGCCCAGTAACACGGTAACATCAAAGGTCTCCTAGATGGTCTCATGGGAAAGGTCCACATAGTAAGGACAGCCCTGGACTCAGACTCAGAAACTTCAAATCTGCTTCCAGCCGTGATTCCACACAAAATTTCCCTCAAGGTCAGACCCCAGGTTCATATAATCTGCCGCCTGCCATCCCTGCCCCCTGAGAGAGTTGTGCAGCTACTGTGGGGCAAGATTTTAATTAGTCTAAGGATTTGCCTAAAGTTGATAGTTAACGAGCTTCTGAAACGGTCACTCGGGCTGCAACGTATTACAACCTCTGGATTTAGTGCAAGAGGAAACTGGCAAACGATTTCCCATTGCTACTTTCATCACAGTGCGTTTCATTTCCCTCACTGATATCCTGTTAGAGAGGCAAAGCATCTGAACAGCTTTGTATCCTTCGTGCTAACACATAGCAGAGTAGTAAGTTTTGTTAGTATCTGTGGGGCTCTCATTAGAGACCAGCGCTGTGATCATTGCGTCAGGAGCTCTATTTTCATCTATATAATTACTCCACAGTGTTCCCTGTTTCTGGTCTTCAGAAGAATAATCGATTTCAGAATAACTGTGAAGCCTTCTGAAAGTCACTTAAATAGTACATATTAGCAGAAGGATTGTAGTCTGCCTTGGCCTGTAAATGGCAGTTACCGTAGACTCGTTCACATTTAATCACCATAATAATGTTATGGAGAAGTCACCACCATCTCTCTTTTACCAGGCAGAAACAATAACCCAAGCGTTTCATTGGCTTTTTCAACATTATTTCCAGCCAGTCGATAGAGGCAGTGAGATTTGAAAAGCAGATTAATCGATCTCAGAGCTCTTGGTTTCTCTGGAGTGTTGCCTTTGAATTGCCTAGGAAAGGTTTTATTCCAGTATGACAACTTCCCTATTCTTCCCCTTCTTACCCCCTTCTTTTCTTGACTTTCACCATCATTTTCACTGAGGTCCTCCCTGACTTCTCACACTTGGCGTGGCTCATCGTGGAGCCTGGAAACTCCTTTGATGCGGGAACTTTGCTGTGTGGATCTTAGGATGTGTAGTAATATCTGTGGCCTTCATCCAGTAATGACAACCAGACATTTAACAATATCACCCCCATTAGAAGGCACTGGTGCTTGTGACACTACTTGCATCTGGAGTGGGGTCATTCTACATTCTAGCCTCATCTCTGACCCCTCCCCAGGGGTGAGTCCTTGGACAAGGTCATCTCTGAGCTTTGAGGTCCTCTGCCGCAGATGGGAGTGGTTCTGTAGTAAAGACTGATAGGTAGGAGGTGATGATAGGAGAACAGACACAGAAATCTCAGCTAGACAATGTGAGTCTTTAGCAAAAAGGAAACCTCTGGCCTTGCCAGGATCTGTACTGTGTCTGGGGTGCGCATGGAAGTTCCTGGTCAGTTAAGAACAGTGATATCTGTTGTGTGTGAACAGTGACCACGTTCAAACATCTCCCTTTATTTACCCTTCACGCCTCATCTGCCTCAGGGACTCCTGCAGAGTGCACGTGTTGATATGTGCACGGCACGGGATACACCAGAAATACTGTTAATACTGAATAATTTACTTATAATTAACACAGCCGTAGCATAAAGTGGAGACTTTCATTGGTTGTCGTAATTATTTAAATCAACCTGCTAGAAAATCAGTGTCTAAATTTGGCCTCAGTTGGACTGATTCCTCCAGAATTGTGCTCTTCAACCTGCCCAACCCCATATTCCTCAACAGAATCTCTTTTCCTACCCTACAAACATCCTCCAAGTCCCTTAGAAGAAAATGTATTCAATAATCGCGAACTCACTGATTTTAAATTGTCAGTGTAACTAGGAAGGACACTGACAGAGCTAGGCCAACATGACAGAGTTGCAAAATTATGGGCCTAGGTGGGGGAGAGAGCTGAGAGCCACAGAAGTAGGCTGTGCTGACCACAGTGGCCTCTGTGCACTGACACCCCAATATGAGCTAGTCACCTCTAGTTACAACATCCTCTGTTGCAATAGGAAACCTCAGCTCAGAGAGCAGAAGTGACCCTGCTGAATGTGACAATCAGCAAAGTGATCAGAGCTTTTAATGTTACGGCCATGGGTTCCAAAAAGATGCTCATCCATCCCTCCTTGTGAATGCATTGGGTTTTTTAACACATTCACGTTCCTGTCTTCAAAATGACTTTCAGTGCTTTCTGCACTTTTGCCCGAGCCCTCTAACTCTAACTTCCTCAGACTCAGCATATGCATTTGACTGATCTTCCGCAGAGAAAATGGTAAAACTGGACGGGGATTCTTCAGCCTTCTCTCCCCCTCTGCCTGCGCTCATGGCCGTGACCAGGTCCTTATTCATTTGGAAGACTCATTTTCCTCATTTGCTCTAGATCCTTCTCCCTCACCTTCCCGACCGCGCCTCTTGAATTTTCCCTCTATTTTCTGCCCGAAATTCCCCAGATGTAACTTCTACTATAACATCCTGTCTCATAAAATCGTAGCACTACTCCCTTTAAAATGTGATGACCCTTCAGCCATGTTCCTGTCTCACTCCAGCCCTGTTTCTATGGGGAAATGTCTTCCTGAGAAAAGAATTCTCAGACATTAGAAGAGGGATCTCCAACTGTGCTCTCCACCTCTTCGCCTCGCATCTTCTCCTGGTCTCGCTCCGGATGGCCTGGTCCTCCGCACTTCACCAGATGGGGGCTCCTGGAGGAGCCTTAGTGATTCCATGTCACCAAATCCTGTGGTCCATTCTTATCCCGATTCCCAGTGACACAGGGCCCATCCGAGTTCTTCCTTCCTGAGACTTGTTTTTCTTTGGAGATGATAAAATGCTCATACAACCCAGCCTTTTTGTCTCTATAGCTCAACTGCCCAACCTCTTTTTGGTCCACTTTACCACTTTTTCTCCTCTAAAGTTGAGTCTGAATGTTGGGATTTTGCCTGTCCGTGCACCTCCTCCTCTCCCCGTAGTCTTTGCATAGGTGACACAACCCAGTCTCATGCGTTCAAGTATCATACTGAGGACTTCTAATCCAAATTATCAGTTCTGACTTTTCCTCTGAGCTCTCCCCTGGTATAATCAACTGGCATCCTGACATCCCCCGGGAATCCAAGCCACACCACAGACCTAACAATGCCCCAGCCACACTTGTAATGTCCCGTTCACCCTCACAAACCACTCTCCCAGTGTTCTCTCAATTCGGAATTTGAGTATTTAGTTGTCAGAGGCTCAAATGCAGAGACTACCTTTGATGTCTTTTATGCTGCAAGCCAGGTTTACACCTGTAGGTCCTGGACATACTGAGCATTCAGCCAGCGTTCTCTCCAGTCTACCACCCTGCCCTTTGCCCTGTGTCCTCACTAACCTCACAAGTACACTGATTGTCACAGATAAGGCGCCACCTGCTGCCACCTTCACTAAAACCCATTGTCTATGAAGAAACCAAATAATTTTTTGAGGAAACAAATATAATCACGACATTAAAGCCAGGCGTGGTGCCCAACGCCTCTACTGTCAGGCCGCTCAGGAGACAGAGAGAAGAGCATGGCGATCTGGAGGGCAGGCTTGGCAAATTGGCAAGCAAGAGAAATAAAGCTTAAAAAACAAGTGTAGGGTATGCAGGGTGTGGCTGCTGTAGAGTGATCCTGGCTTCAGTTAAGAGGGGAGAGAGACAGGGAGAGGGAGAGGGAGAGGGA